TCAGGCTGTGATTGTGCACCAGGAGAGGCACATCCGCTTTCTCCGAGGTGCCCTCCCCAGGCCAGGCCGGCCCAGTCCCCAGGCATCTGCCCACAAACGGAAGCCTCCTGCAAGAAGGTTCTAAGTTGGCATTGATTTTGTGTAATTCTTGCCCCTCCTCCAGGCAATTCCTTGAACGATGTTAGCCTAGAAGCAGAATTAAAATCCCAACTGCTGCCTTCCTGATGTTTAGACTATTCATCCATACCTCCTGTCTTTCCAGAGACTTTTATTTTCTGAGGAGGCATAAAGGAACACAAAGCCAACAGCAGTACAATTTAGAAGTGGTCACCGCAGACCATTCCACGCACTCCTCTGACCTCCCCTCAAAGGGCCGCCCCTAGGGCTCTGGGCCTTCCCTCCTTCTGCTCACCATCCTTGGTATCAGTCCCAAATCTGCCCAGGGGCCCAGCCTCACCTCGTGCTGGGTGCAGTCTAGGGACAGCAGGGTGGGCCAGGGCACATGGACCCCTACCCAGGGGAAATGGACCAGAGCTCCCAGTCCTGCGGAAAAGTGTGGTCCTGGCCACTGGGACCCTACAACAGCTCTAGGGGAGCTGTGACTGGCAGTGTACTGTCCATATCTGTGTCCACGCACCCCACCTTGCCATGGTCCCCACCAAGACAAACCCTCTCTGGGGGTTCCAGATGGCCAGGTTGTCTTATGCTTTAAGTTTCTAAGTTGCTGAAAAATTGAAATTTGCTGACTTAAGCTTTTCATTGTAAGTTGGGTTCCAGAAGGCCATCTCTGGCATTTGGGGGGCCCTTTCCGGGACAGGGTGGGGGCCAATTTGGAGTGTGGCACTGGCCTGCGGTCCTCTTCTGTCCCTGCAGAGGGAGAGTTCCAGTGGTTTCTGCACCAGAAAGATCCTCCCCCCGCCCACCGTCCTGCGGGTCCCTGAGGTTCCCCCATCACGCCTCGTGCGCCCCCCCGCAGCGGTTCCGAGGCTGGGATTTGGGGTCAAATAGGACCCCCGATACATGGGGCGCCGAGAGGAGGACGGCCACAGTGACACAGGCTTCACTGTCCTGTGCCGGGGG